AGGCTGCTGACCTGTTGCAGGACATGTTTTTTCTCTTTTAACCAAAGCACTTGTAAACTTCTGGCAGTCTGGTTTGGGGAAGCAGCCTTTTCCATCTCAGCACTGAGTCAGACTTTTGGTGGCGGAGCTGCCCCCGTGGTGGTTTTCCACAAGGATGTGGCTGTGGATGGGTGGTGAAGGACTGTCCGTGGCTGGAGGAGGTGCCCGGGTGAGGACAGCAGTGCTGGAGCTCTGCCAAGAGACAGCTGTCCTGGAGAGCTGCAACCCCAGCCAGGCTCCTGCCTGCTCCTGAGCCCCCAGTTTCACAAGATGGCCCGAGCTGGGAAGTGCCGGGAGGGTGGAGCTGTTAAACCCGTTTCACCGCTGCAGGCAGGCAGGGCAGGATTGCTCCATGGCAGTGGATGGGTGAAGAGCAGCCTGGATGGCTTCCGGGGGGGTTGGCCCCTCGGTGAGGGGAGCAGGCGGCAGTCTGGCTGGTTCGTAGCAGCCTGATGGTCTTTGGTTCTTGGGTTTTTTTCTTCCTTGTTTCCCCAGCTCCAAAAGCGGTGTTGGCTAATTAAAAGGACACCAAGTCCCCTTGTGAGAGTGCTGCATACTGTAAGCACAGCATCCAGGAGCTGGGCTGGATTGCACCCTGTGCCCGTAGTGTGCAGTCCGTGTCACCCATGTCACCCACTCAGCTGACCCTATCCAGCTGCACCTTCTGCACGTGGGCTGGGAGCACCCAAAATGGGGAACCTGGAGCTCAGCCTGCACTGAGAGCCTGTTTGTGCCTTCCCACCATCCTCAGCCACCTGGCTGACAGAATGGAGAAGCTCCAGGCATGGGCCCTGCGAGAGCTCTGCTGCTTTGCTTCCAGACCCTTAGGAATAGTTTCCTCTGGCCTGAAAGGATCCTAACGAATCTGAAGTTAAAAGGTGCTTTTTATATGGAAATCAGTTGCTGGTATGTCAGCATGCGAAATTATTCTTAAAATGGAGAGAGTGAAATTGCTCCCTAGGTGCTCACTTCTCATCAGAGCTGCACAGACACCTGCTGCTCCATCACTCTGCAGGAGCAGGATGCTTTTGCAGGCAGAGCCACTTGCAGGAGTGGCAGAGGGGCCAGTGCCACCCCTGCCCCTCTGTGTCTCCCAGACAGGGCAGTGGGTGTTCACTGGGGCACTTGCCTCTGGGTAGGAGTTTGCAGAGGGTGACACTGCCAGTCCTGGCTGTGCAGCCTTGGTTTGTGTCAGTCCTGGGGCTCTGCTTGTCTTCCCCATCGCAGCTGCATCCTCCCACCTTCCGTGCTGCCCTGGGTCTGGAGCTGGGGTCCCTGGGTCGGGGTGGCCAGTGGTGTTCCAGAAGCTGCTCATGGACAGTATGTGGAGCTGAACCTGCGTGTGCTGATGCCATCACGTGTTGTGTGAGCATTGCAGGGGCAGCACCCTCCCACTGTCCCCAAAAAACCCTCTTTTCCCTTCTGCCGGCTCTCCCCAGCCATGCCCAAGGGCTGCAGGCGTGTCCTCAAAGGACGGCCTCTTTGGGCCTCTCTGCTGGGGAAAACTAAACTTTTTCTAGGAAAACTATGCCAGGGTATTTTTCCCTTCTCTCCCTTCCCACTGAGCCTGCAATGTCAGGATAGCTGGCAGCTGAAGCACTTGCAGGCTTGCTGCAGGCAGGGAGCCATTCCTGGTGCTGGGAGTGGGATCCCCCTGCCGGGGGCACCTTCCCTGGGGCCGGGCAGAGCGACCTTCCCTGAAGGACATTCCCTGTCCTCTGGCTCCGCTGCATCCAGCGAGCAGCCAGAGCCTTGGCCCGGCATCCCAGCTGCCCCGCTGCTCTTTCACCTCCTGAGTGCTGCTGTTCCTGCTGACTACGCTGTGTTGCAAGAGCTGGAGCTGCTGTGTAAAGTCCGGGTAAACAGGTTGCAAATTCCCTGCAGCCCTGGAGAGGAAGGGGATTGGACAAAGCTGCTGCTCTTGAGCAGTGGGGTGATTTATTTGCATAGAATGAGGCTTCTGCTGGGGTAAAACTGTGTGGGGAGAGGAGATGACAGCAGAGCAGGACCTCTGGTCTTGCTTCCAGGGGGCTGCAGGGCAGGTGGCCTGTGCCACCCTGTCTCTCTGTGGGCAAAAGAAAATGGATTAAAATTGCCACAAGGCATGGAGTGTGTCCAGAGTGCCTGCTCTCTGTGCACCTTCCCATGGGATTTTAGGTCAGAACAACACTGGGGAACAGGGAGGGGACCTGGCAGCATGGGTGCCCTGTTCCTTCATCCTTGGCTAGGGCACCCTCATTGCCCCAGAGACTGCCAGTTCCCAGGAACAACATGCTGTTCCTTTGCTGGGCTCTGGTGGATGGCTTTGCCCTTGGGATGCTGAGCAGAGCCTCTGCCTCCCCTGCACGCAAGTGTGACCACTGAGGCTGTGAGCAGGTTGCAGGAGGTGCAGCACCTCTCCCTGTAGCATTTGGTGTGGCTGCCATGAGCTGAGGTGCTGGTTGCCCCTGGACTGCTGCTTGTCCTGGGTGCTCCCCTCCTGTCTGGCTTCTGGGTGTGCTGGGGGAGGAGCTGGTGCTGGGGGACTGAGAGAGAACAAATATTTATGGTGCTTAAAACATCCAGCACTTCAATTCTGCAGTGTGGGAGGGAGGAAAGTGGCCTTGGCAGCACTCGGGGTGTGCGTGTGGCTGTGGTGGCACAAGGCTGGTGGCACGGTGGTGTGTGGCAGTGCGGAGCGGTGCCAGCTGGTGCTCAGCTTTTTGGGGACTGTTGCACCCGACTGGAGAACATTGCTCCTCATCGAGCTGCTCTCTGGGGCCTGCCAGCTGCTCCTGCAGGAGCTGTTTGTCTTTGCAGGAGAAATGAGCGTTCGGCCACCCCCCTGCCACGGGACCAGCAGTGTCTGCCACTCTGACGGACACGCCAAGGGCAGGAGAGGGTTGAGGGGGCAGCAGGGGTGTGCTGGGGACCCTGGGGATGGTGGCTGTCCTCCTGTGATGCCCCAGGGGAGCTGCTGGCTGGCTGCAGTGCCGTGAGCTGGCCCTGTGTTTCCTGCCATGCCCCCAGAGCAGCGGGAGCCGCGGAGGCGTCAGGGCTGGCAGTGGTCACCCAGCACCGCCTCCTGAGAAGCGCCTGCCTGGGCTGGGCTGGGCTGGGCAGCTCCAGCCCCCCTGGGAACACAGTGGGAAACAAGGAGCCTTTGTTTGCTGTGGCAGAGCTGGGCTGGCCTCATGCCCTTGTCCCCACGGGGCCGGGATGCTGCCCAGCTGGGCTGGCGTGTCCTGCCTTGGGTACTCATTGCCACGGTGTCCCCGTCTCTGCCGTGCCTGTGGGAGGAGTGGGATGCTCTGTGAGCACGAAGCTGAGCTTTGCATTGCCCCAGCTGTTTTGAGGCTGGCCTGGCTTCTTGGCTCCCTGGGTAAGAGGTGCAGCCTGGTGCTTTTTGTGCCTGGGAGGAAAAACAAGCATAAGGCTGTTTTAAGATGGGTTCTGCTCCGCTGCTGGAAGGAATGTGGGGAGGCTGCTTTTCCCTTCCCTCTAGAAGGACTGGGCTGAGAGGAGGCAGCAGTGCTCCTGGGGATGCCAGTTGCCAGTGGCACTGACAGGGGGAAGCTGGCAACACCAGAGAGATCTCTTGCATATGTGGGGGCCATGCAGAAGAAATACGACTTTGTGAGAAAGTCTGCTGGTCCAAGGAGCAGGTGCTGCCTGCTGTTGTCACAGGGAGCAGCCATGGGCTGTGGTGGCCCCTATCAGCATCCCTTCATGGGGGTACTTTGGGGGTGCTGATAAGCAGAACTGTGCCACGTGGCACCAGCCTTTGCTTCACTGCAGAGCAGGATAACAACCACTGCACCCAGTCCCAGCCTCTCCTACAGAGGCAATGTGTTCCCTGCTGGGGTGTCCCCTGGGCTGTGGGGCTCAAGCCTGGCAGTGGGGGCCACAGCCCTGCTGAGTCACACCAAGGCCATGGCCAGACTGGAGGAACCACTGGAGGCTGTATAGGAGACAGGGAGCTGGCAGCCCCTCTGACCACACGCTGTGCCCCAGCCTGTGGGCTGGAGCATGATTCACCTTCCCTGGGCAAAGAGCAGGGAGATCCTCAGGCTGCTCAGGGTGGTGTTGACCCCAGTGGCAGCACCCTGTGCCCTGTCCTGGGTAGAGCAGGGTTGGCCCTGTGAGACCTGAGGGAGCTCAGCCCTGTGCTTCCTCCCGGTGTCCTGTGAGACCTGAGAGAGCTCAGGGTTGGCCCTGTGAGACCTGAGGGAGCTCAGCCCTGTGCCTCTTCCCAGTGCCGCCGGCACCCAGGGCTCCTGCTGCTCGGCGGGACCTGGCCACACTTTGATGCTGTGTGATCCATCGTGGCTGGATGGGCTGAGCCCAGCTCCCCCAGCACAGCTAGGTCCAGCTGCAAAGGCTCCATCCCTTTTGAGGGGAGCCCCAGAGCTGAGAGCCAGCATCCCTTGCTGCCCAGGCCATCAGGAAAGGCTGCAGCCAGTGTAATCAGTGCCCAGCAGCCGCCTCTGCAGGAGCCCAGGGCAGCCAGACAGGCTTGATGATAATTGTGCTTCCTGCCAGCACAGCCAGGTCTGCAGATGGGCTCCTGCTGGTGTGGGGAGTGGTGTGGGCAGCACCACAGTGTTTGTACATCCCAGTGCTGGCAGCTCACCTGGAGGTGCGAGGCTCTGGAGAGGGAGAGGTGTCTTTGAGGGGTAACACACCAAATAGGCAGCCATGGGTGCAGTGTTTTGCCCTGTTTTCCCACCCCTTTGCCCAGTCTCCTCAACAGCTCTTGCCATGGCAGGGCAGTGATGCCCATTCAAAGAACCAGGTTGGCACAGGGCCGGGCCCTGGCACGGAGTCCTCAGGGTTTTGGTGAGGACAGGGATATCATGTCCCAGCCCAGACCTGGCTGCCAGAGGTCCCAGGCTCAGCCATCATGGACCTGGGACCAGCCATGTGGCAGTGAACGGGCACAATGCTGCTCCTGCTACAGTGTCCCTTCCTCTCCCGTGCAGGTGGCCTGGCTGGAGGGATCGAGATCTGCATCACATTCCCCACCGAGTATGTGAAGACGCAGCTGCAGCTGGACGAGAAGGCAAACCCTCCCCGCTACAAGGGCATTGGTGAGCAGCCCCTCTCTGGGTTTGGGGCTGCTGGGGAGCCTGGCTGGTGCTGGGGGGGTTTGGCAGGGCGGTGGTGGGTGGTGACAGCGGCCCCGCTGTGCTCTGCCGCAGGGGACTGTGTGAAGCAGACTGTCCGTGACCATGGCATCCGGGGGCTGTACCGGGGGCTCAGCTCGCTGTTGTATGGCTCCATCCCCAAGGCTGCTGTCAGGTATGTGCCCCCGTGGCAAGGGGTGAGTGGGGAGGACCCCCAACAGCAGCAAACAAGGGGGTGGCTTTGCCCTTGGTGTCTCTGTTGGTGTTTTACCAAAGCCATGTGGTCTCCCAGGCACGGAGGGTCCTCTCACAGGGTGTGCAGCTGCTCCTGGACCCAGAGCAGGGGGATGCAGACCCCTGTCCGGGTGCCTGGGGATTGGCACGGTGGCTCCTTTGCAGGTTTGGGATGTTTGAGTTCCTCAGCAACCAGATGAGAGACGAGCAGGGGCGGCTGGACAGCACGCGGGGCCTCATCTGCGGGCTGGGGGCTGGCGTGGCTGAGGCTGTGGCCGTGGTCTGCCCCATGGAGACTGTGAAGGTGGGTGGGTGTGGCTGCCACTGTCCCCTGCCTTGGCACCCCTTGCTGGGCTGGGAGGGGGAAAAACCCAGGGATGCCCAACTTTTGGGAACCTGAGGGCTGCATGCATTTGCCCAAGAGAGTTTTGTAGGGGTGGATCTGATGCTGGAAAGCCCTGTGGAGGTAAAGTCAGGTGGCCCTGGCCCCTTCCCCACTCCAGGGAGGAGCCCCACACCCAGGAGCCATCTTGTCACCCACCCATTTTATGAGTGTAAGGCCCACATGGCTGCTTGCAGCAGCAGTTTCCCACGTTTGCCTCTGCAAAATGCACTGCTGGCCATGGGCACAGGCTTCCCCCGTGATCTCTCCCAGAGCTGCCTGGCTGCGTGGGTTGGCTCTGGTCTTGGGACTGTACCTGGAACAAGGCAGGAGGTGGCCGCCAGTCCTTGGGGCCATCACATCTGCATTACCTCAGCCAGGACAAGCACATCATCTCCTTGTAGGTGAAGTTTATCCATGACCAGACCTCTCCCAACCCCAAATACCGTGGTTTCTTCCATGGCGTCCGGGAGATCGTTCGGGAACAGGGTGAGTCCCAGGAAAGTGGCACCCTGACTCCCTGAGTACTGCCATGCTATGGGGACAGGGTGGGAGGTGGTGGATGGGCACAGGCTGGAACAGGTGGCCTGGGGAGATTTTTCTCTGCCACTTGAGGCTGGTCTCCCCTCCAACACCCTCTTCTTGCAGGACTGAAGGGGACCTACCAGGGCTTAACTGCAACCGTCCTGAAGCAAGGATCAAACCAGGCCATCCGCTTCTTCGTCATGACCTCCCTCAGGAACTGGTACAAAGGTATGGTGCCCTTGGCCCCCAGGCTACCCTGGCTGTTCCTCTGGCTCCCTGGCCACCCTTGGGAGCTGGGATGGTTTTTCCTTCCACACACCCCCTGTTTCTCATGGTTCAGTCACTTGGAATGCAGGAAAATAAATACTGGGATGGGGTGGCACCAGCTTGTGGGGCTGATGGGTCCTAGTGCTGGAGTATCACTTTCACACCCACCCTGAACCCCACAGTGTGGTGTGGGCTCTGTGGGGAAGGTGCTCCTGAACAGTGCCCAGCTCAGCACTGCCTCCTGACTACAAGCAGCCAGACCTGGGGCCTTCCTTGCAGGCTCCTTCAGGAATGTATGTGGGAATCCCACCACCACTCCGCCCTGACCCTCTCTTCCTTCCCAGGGGACAATCCCAACAAGGTCATGAACCCCTTCGTAACAGGGGTGTTTGGAGCCCTTGCTGGAGCTGCGAGTGTCTTCGGCAACACCCCCTTGGATGTGGTGAAGACGAGGATGCAGGTACAGTGCCAGGGCCTGGTGTGGGACTGCTCTGCCTGCAGCAGGCCGGGGGCACCCACTGCCTGGGAGCTGTTTGCTGCAGTCCCTGGGGCAGGCACACAATGCCGGCAAGGTTTGGTTTGGGAGATGTCTGGGATTGCTCCTGAGCCATGGGGAGTGTTTGCATGGAGGTGGGGACATCCCTGTGGGGTGTGATGTCCTGCAGCAGTGGAGAGAGATCAGTTCCTCATGGCACACCCTGGGCTCTCTGCTTTGCCCCCGAAATCCCCCAGATGCAGATGTCTCTGGCCTCTGATCCTGGCTCTCCCTTCCCACAGGGGCTGGAAGCGCACAAGTACAAGAACACCTGGGACTGTGCCTACCAGATCATGAAACACGAAGGGCCCCTGGCGTAAGCTCTGCAGTGGGGGTGGCTGGTGGGGAGATGGGCAGGGAAGGGGCTGTGAGGGGACCCAGCCCCACGGTCCCCCTCTCTATTCCTGGCAGGTTTTACAAGGGTACAGTGCCTCGCTTGGGCCGTGTGTGTCTTGACGTGGCCATCGTCTTCATCATCTACGATGAGGTGGTCAAATTCCTCAACAAGGTGTGGAAAACGGACTGAGGGGCCGGGCCAGGCAGCCCCCGCCTCCTGTGCCCCACAGGGCTTCAGCTGGAGAACAGAGACCAAACCCACACCCACCTGCGGCACTGCTGGGGCCAGGTCTGCCCTGCACACCCCAAACCTGGCCACCTTTATCTTTAGGAGCAGGCTCTGGAGCAGGTTAAATTACTAGTTGTGTGCTGAAAGGAGCAGGGAGGGAGCTGCATCCCACCATCCCTACCCCCAGCATCCCGGTCATGCCCACCCCAGTCTCCTGGTGACACTTTCCCCCAGCCCCACATCAGCTATGTGTACTGGTTAACCAGGCTGAGATGTCCCTTGGACGGTGGCCTTGGGGCTCCCAGCAGCCAGGAGCTCCTGACTGCCTCAGGAGCAGCTCTTTTGGGGGTGCTGAAAGCCCCCTCGAGCCATGTGGGTGCAATGCCAAACTGTGCATCACAAGCTGACAGTGGGGCTGATACCACGGCAGGGTCACAGCAGCTCTTGGAGGGGGCCCAGCAGCCCTGCACCCCCTGGGATGGGAGAGCAGTGACCCCCTGGTGTGACCCCAAGCTCCCTCCTCCCTCCCTGGCAGCTCCAAGACCACCGGCGTGCAACATCCCATCCCATCCCATCCCGGGGATCCTGCTCAGCCCCGGGCTGCTGAGCAGCAGTTGCCCAAAATTGCACATACAGCCAGGCCTTTAGTTCTGCTCACTGTGGGCTGGGGTTGGGGTGAGCCGGGTGCCCCTCACCTGCCGTTTACAGCCGAGTCGTGCGTGCGAGCCAGGCCGAGGAGGTGCAGCCCCAGGCTGCAGGCTTGGCCCCTCGGCCAGGGGTGCAAACCCCTTTCTTCTGCCACATTCCCCGCATCTGCCCTCCCGCCGCGTTCCTGTGGTGCCGTAGGTGATCCCGTAGCTTTTGGAGCTTTAGAGCTTCATGCTGACTCACTAACACCCATGGCCGTGGGGCTGGAGCCCTGCCCTGCCCGTGCCAGGCTGGCCCCACTATATTTGTGCCAAATTTCTCCCTGAGGGAGCTGGGGGTGCAAGAGCCAGGGCTCAACCCATCCCTCCTCCCTCTTGTAGCCAGCGATGAGCTCAGCCTTAACACTGGAGGGTGAAGGAGGAAAGCCTGGGCACGGTTTACCTGTGGCTTTTGGCTCTGTAGCCAGTGAGGGTTGCATTAGTTTTTTTTTTATTGTTATTCTGTTTTACATTCGCAATCTGAATAAAATCAGTCTGGCTTTAGCGGCTGCGTTGGCGTCCAGCTGTGCTGAATGGGCAGTGAGTGGCTCCTGCCCTGTGGGTGGGGGACGGGGCTCCCCATCATGCCAAGATGGTGCTCCTGGGGGAGCATCTGCTCCAACCCAGCAGTGCCCAATCACAGATGCTCCCAGGCAGGGTTGTGTTGTCTCGTGCACGGTGCTTTATTAATAACCCTGGTTAATTGTATGAAGTCCTTGCCCTGCCGTGGAGCCGAGGGGCGGTGGAGCAGAAGGGAACGGGCTTTGTCCCCCCGCCCAGCCCGGGGGCGGTGCGGCACGGCCGGAGCTCCCACCCGCACAGCCCTCGCTGCTCATCGGTGTCCGCTGGAGCGGGGCACAGCCGTCATCCCGCGGGGCTCGCAGGCTCCCGGGGCCATGCGGGGCCCGCTGCTCTGGGCGGGCTGGCTGCTGGCCACGGGCTGCCTGCTAGGAGCCGCGGGCAGCTGCCGGCACCGCTGCTGCCCCGGCAGGAACAACGCCTGCTGGGCCCCCGGCGCCCGCCGGGCCCGCTGCTACTGCGACTCGTACTGCCAGCGGACGGGAGACTGCTGCCAGGACTACCTGGCCGCGTGCCGCCGTGCCGGTGAGTGCCGGAGGGGATGGCGCTGGCCGGACCGCGGCTGGGGACACCGGCCTGTGCTGCTGTGCTCGGTGCGAGTGTTTGCTGTTACCTGTTAGCCCCGTACTCTGAGTGATAACAGGTGTGTCTGTGGATGCTGGCTGGGCTGGATTTGTAACAATGTCCCAGCTGTTCCCTTTTTTCCACGCTGAATGTCTCTGGCTGGCCCCAGTGCAGTGAGAGAGCTCGAAGGGGTGGTCTTTGGTCTGCAGCTGATGGTAGCGCTGTCACTGCAAGCCTGAGAGGTCAGTGTGGGACCCAGCGGGACAAGCCCCGGTGTCACCTCTGCTACTATCACGGGCAGTGCCTTGCACAGGGACAGGGGGAGCAGGGGCTGTACTGAGGGTGCCAAACAGGGCTCATGGGCTTGGGGAGTGCAGAACCAGCCTGCCCTGGGGACCCAAATCAGGGTAGGCAGGCGCTGGCCGTGGCCCCCTGGACAATTGCAGCAGTCAGCCCTTCCTAATCTCCGGGGGGATTAGCAGGGTCCCAGCTCAGCGCGATGCACACAGGGATAAAGTCCTGCGGAAGCAGCTGACAAAGCCCCTGCACTGGCAGGGGTCAGGGGAGAGGGGCTGTTGGGGTCACTCTGGCCTTCCTCCCCTCTCCCCATCCCCTGTGCTGCATCTCCCCTGCTCTGCCCTTTCCATTGTTCATGACACTGAAACACTTTCTTTCCCCTCTCCTCCATCCCTGGCAGCGGTGGGCTGTGCTGTGGGGCCCTGGGGGCCGTGGAGCGGGTGCAGCTCCCCGTGCGGGGTTGGCAGCAGGGCCCGCAGCCGCCAGGTCACCGTGCCGCCCCGGCACGGCGGGGATCCCTGTCCCGACCTCAAGCAGCGCCGCGGCTGCCTGGGGCAGCACCCGACCTGCGGCACGGCCAAAGGTAACCGGGCTGCCTGCTGCCCTCCTGCGTGCTCGTCCCCGTGTGCTGCCGTCCCGGGGTGTCTTTAATCATCCCCTGCCCCTCACAGCTGCTCTTCTGCCAGAGGTAGCCAAGATACTCCCCAGCTCCTTCAGCCAGGACTTCAGAGATCCCTGGCGAAGAGCGGGGCTGCCACTGCCGGAGGAGCCCTCTGGGTATGTGTGGAGTCGGGGCCCCTCTGTAACCCCCGTCCCCAAAGCCGGGACCCCTCCTGCCCTCGCTGCAGTGATGGCATCTTTGCACCCCCAGACCCAGGGCCTTTCTGCTTCCCCCACAATTACTTTTCTCCCTGCCCCAAACCATGGCCCCGTTGCACCCCCATACAAAACCGTGGCCCTCTGCATGCCCCACAGAACCACCATCCTTCCTGCCCTCCAAACTAGGATCCCTCTGCACCCCACGGAGCCATTGCCCTTCTCACTTCCCCCACCCAGGCCCCTCTGCCACTCCCCAAACCCATATCCCCTTTATACCCCAATCCACCAACAAACCACCACAACCTCTGCCCTACCTTCCGACCATCATTTTCCCTCTTTTCTCCTCCCATGTTCCCCCCTCCCCAGCTCCTGCGGCTATTTCCGCCTGGCGCAGGTGGGACCCCCGTGCCGCGGGCGCGCCTGGAGCCGCCGGCTGCAGCGGGACAAGCAGGTGTGCGTGCAGTGCTGGGGGAATCCGTCCCACCGCCGTCCCCACTGCACTGGACACGGCCTGCAAGGAGCCAGGTGGGTGCTGATCTGTGCCATCCGCACCGTGGGATCTCTCCTAAGGAACATCTCTCCCTGTCTCTGACATTCGCCTTTTATATTCTAATTATATTTGTATACAAAGCTGTAATTATGTTAAAATATGCCACAATGTTATAGTATGCCATAATATTATTAAATGAATCAATAATATGTCCTATAAGCAGAGATTATAATATAAACATATTTAAATAGGATAGAATATCTCTGTTGGAAGGGACAATGATCATCTAGTCTGCCATTATTATATATATAATATAAATGCATATATAAAATTATATTTGATTTTTTAAAATTGTATATATTAATGGTGCATGCTAGTTCTCACTGATTTTCCTTTCTAGGACATTTTGGGTGGCAGCTTCTGTGGTGGGGTGCCAGGGCTCATGGGTGCAGGAAGGCCTGCAGGAGGGCTGTGTCTGCTCCCCACCAGCTCTCATCTTCGTGTAGGATGCCCCTGGGAAGGTGAGCTGAGCCTCCCCATGGCACCACTCCTTGCTGGGGAGGTAAGGAATTAAATTAAAATGTGCTCTCTTTCATAATTTCACCTTCCTGCAGGTTTGCTGTTCACCCTTGGTGCCTGCTCCCTGTTTTCCATTAAATATTTTGCTGAAGAATGGAGAAACCCTTCTTATAAAAACTAAAAATAAGGGAATTGCTGAAGTGTGGTGATTAATGGCAGAAGAACAGCATGATGAGGTTAAGGCTGGGTGACATGATGTGATGATGTTATGCTCAGCCATGACATCATACTTTCAAAGAGCTGCAACTGGCAAGAAACGTGAGGATGGAGGCAGCATCCCTCCCCTCTGAGCTCACTCACTGCAGTAGCAGGTGAGCCGTGCAGGCAGTTCAGCCCTGCTTTGCAGAGAGGAACTAAAGACACCCAAAGTCTGCGCACAGGCGATGGTGCCAGCGCCCAGTTCCAGCCGTGGGGCTCAGCAGCTCCCACTGGAAGGAGTGAGGCTGGGCTGGGTGCTGCTGCTGCCCTTCCCCAGTCCTTGCCCAGCATTGCATGAGCTTGCTGGTGGGGTCCCTGCTCTAGCTGTGGGTGGTGCTACCACAGCACATGCCGTGCCAGGGCTGGATCTTGCTCCACTGTAGGCAGGGGCTGTTGTCTGTTTGCTGCCCCAGGACATGTTTGGCTCCTGCAGCCCGCTCTCACACCACCCTCCTGGGCAGGGGAATTAAAAGTCTTGAACACTAGGAATGTTCTTGGCCTCTTTATTTGGGATAAAAGCCCAGGTCGGCCAAGGACCAAAGTGCTGGTTAAAAAAACAGGTGGTGGCAGGTGAGCATGAGGGGGTGTGAGAGTTCTGGAGCACAGGTCCCCTCCTGCCAGCCAGAGCTGAGGGCAAGGAAACCAAGGACATAGGCCAAGGCATTACTGCACTGGAGTCCTTAGCTGCAGAGTTAGAAACTGGGAACAAAAGTGAGTGTGTCCCACACTGTGAGCGGGTTCCCCTGAGTTACACCACCAAACCTCCAGGCCTGGCTGCTGGTCAGAGCGAACATCCAGGAAATGGAGGGAGATGGCTGCAGGATTTTGTGTCATACTGCTGCATGCCTGGAGCTGTCAGTCCCCAACAGTGGTCCCAGCTCTCCTGGTGCATTGTCCTCCTTTGGCACAGGGGCCAGCCCGTGCTGCACCAGCAGCCCCTGTACCAGCTCCAGCTCCTGCTCCAACTCCTGAGAGCCACAGTCCAGGCCTGGCATGGTGGTGGCACCTTCCCCCAGCACCTGCAGCACCCGTGCCACCAGCCGGGCCCTCACCAGCAGCACGGCCAGGGCTGTGTGGAGTTTGGCACAGCCCAGCGCCTTCATCCTCCAGTGGACAGCAGTCCCTGTGGAGAGAGCAGGGAAGGAGCCATGAGTGTGGCAGGGTCTCCCTGGCAGAGCTGGCCTGGGGAACAAGGACACTGTTTGCTTGTCCCAGGCACTCCATACTCGCCATACCTTGGCTCCAGCAGTGTTTGCAGTACTGCAGGTCCCTCAGCACATCGGGGCCTGTGGCTTCCAGCCACTGCAGAGCCGAGGCATGGACTGGGCTGCCAGTGGGAGCCTTCTCCAGGAGCTGCACCAGGACAGGGAGCAGCTGCCGTGCCAGGACAGCTGGCTCTGCAAAAACATTGGGTTCATCCTCCTTGTACAGGCTGGCAGCTCTGGGGGGAAAGCAGAGGTGTGAGTGAAGCCAAGGGCTGGCCCCGTGGTACCCCACACTCCCTCATGGCAGTCCACAGGTCCAGCAACTCACTTGTTGGCCTGCAGCTCCTCCACAACACTCCTGAGATCTAAGATGGGGATATGTTGAAGTAGTGAGTCAAAGGTCTCAGGGTGCTCCCTGAACTCTCCCAGAAGGAGCTCTAGGAGGCTCTGGAGCCCCACGTTGTCCTGCACAAAGATGCAGCCATCTTGGAGCAGCTCCCCTGGGCTCTGCCGCAGGAGGCTGGCGAAACCTGAGGCCTCATGCCGGACCTCCCGCTCCTCATCTTGCAGAAGATGAATGGCCATGTTTATCAGCCTGAGGAAAGGGAAGAGAAGCATACTGCATGCCCCAAAGCATCCCAGCCTGCTTGGAGGGGAGGATGAGACCTCAGAATGCTTCTCTGAGGGGCTTTCCTGGACCGTGAAAGACAGAGCCACCACCCAAGAGCTTGGGAGGGTAGGGGCTGTGCTGGGGATTGAGGGACTCAGCAATGCCATCTGCTGCTCATAAGGGGCTCGCTGCTTGTATTAAAATGCCACCCACAAGTTTTTTGTAGGGTGTGAGCTCGAGTGCCACTGATTTTTGAACGAGTGGGGTTTTCTTCAACACCCTTCAGTTTTTGCAAGGGACGCCTTTTACAGAGTCCATTAACCTGCAGCAGGCTGGGGCTGCAGGGAGCAGTGCTGCAAGCACAGCCATGTGCTGAGTGACCTACCGCAGAGCCACGGGGACGAGGCGGGGCCGGGCAGCACGCAGGGATGGCCGCAGCACGTCAGCCCCTGCCAGCCGCAGGGAGCGGGCGGCCGCCAGCCGCAGCAGCTCGGAGCAGGCGGACCGGCTGCACTCCTCCAGCGCCGCACACCAGCGCTCCACCAGCGCAACGTCCTCGTCCCCACACCTGCCAAGGCCACGGAAGGAGAGAGAATTCAAGCACACCTTGCTGCTCCATTAGGGGACCAAAGGCTACTGGCTGCCCTGAGATTGCAGGAGCCAGGTGCAATGCTGTGATTTATGGGAGAGAAGTCATGGCTGTTTCTAGTAAGGACTAAGGAAGAATCTGCTGGAAGAGTTGGGCAGCAACCCAGCAGCAGCAAGGACCTACTGGTAGGCAAGCAGCAGGCTGGCAGCACACAGTGCCTGGAAGAGGAGATCAGGCCCAGGACACTCAGCCTCCACCATGTGCAGCAGCATCTCCAGGCATGATCTTGAGGAGCCCTGGAGCTTACTGGAAGCTTCCTGGGACCATAACGAGGGATCTCTGTAAAGATGCAGCAAAGCCTCAAGGTACAATCTCAGGAACTCTTTGTCCCTTCTCTCTTGCAGCACCGACTGCAAGCTCTCCTAGTTGACAATGGGAAAGAAGGTACATGGTTAGTGGTCCTAGCACTGCAGGACCAGGCAAGTGCCCTGCACCCTCAGCCTGGGGAGCTCCAAGCTTCTCAGCAATGGAATCTCAGGGGTCCCATCTGCGTGGTGCACTGGGGCCCCCCTGCTTTACTTGGTGACTTTTGAGCCCCATCATACCAGCAATGTCAGCCCAAGAGCGTTCTCCACTTCCTTGCACGTTCCTCCCTCCCCAGCAATCACCCAGCTCAGGATGGCAAGCTGGATGTCGGGGTTGGGCTGCTGGAGAAGTGAGCAGACAGCAGCAATCTGCTCACTGTCTGCCAGCCGGGCTGCCTCGCTGCACATGAAGTGGGCCATGGTTTGGTGGAGGATGGCTGAGCCCACCTGCAGGAAAAAAACAGGATTCCCCTTCCAGTGCTCAGCCTGGAGCAACGGCTCCCCCTCTGTCCCTGCCCAGGCTCACTGCCTGTCAGACATGCCCATGACTTTCCTGGCAGGAAGCAGTACCTGTGGCTCGGCACAGCCTGACTTTCCCCCCTGCAGGAGGCTGCCCAGCTCGGTGCTGATGGTGTCATGGATGTACAGGGCGAAGCCAGGACTGAAGGATGTGGGCAGGAGGCTGAGGACCTGGAGGAAGGCGGCACGGACGAGGGGGCAGCGCTGGGCAGGGGTGAGCAGCCAGCCCCGCGCCTCCAGCTGCAGAGCCACGGGGTGCAGTGCCTCAGCTGACAGCCTGCATGGAGACACAGCCTTACCACGGGGCAAGCACCGAGGCAGGCGCCCTTCTGTGGCCAAAAGGCTGCGTTTGGCACAGAGTGACCCCAGCTGGGGAGACAGCGTGGCAACACTCACCCCGCGGTGCCCGTGGCGGAGCCCAGCAGTGCCTGCATCTGCAGCAGGTGCCCGTGGACAGCGTTGTGTGAGCGGATCTGCCCGGGTGCTGCAGGGAGCTGCTGGGCCAGCTGCAGGAGGAGCCTGCAGCGCTGGGGAGGGGCGACAACAGGCACCAGAGCCTTGGCAGCCATCGCTCGTACGGCGTAGATGGGGCTCTCTGCCAGCCCCAGCAGTGGCCCCAGGAATGGAGCAGAGGGACTGTGGAGCAAAAAGGGCACCATGTGGTGATGCTCTGGCTGGAGTAAAGTCTCACAAGAACCAGGGCCAGTCTCAGCACCATGGGAGCCCTTCCCACTGCAGGAGCCCTTGGCTAAGTCACAGCATCCCCACTGCCTTCATACCTGTCGGGACTGTCAGTGCCAGGCTGCAGCTGGGCCAAGAGGGTGAGGATGGCGTGGAGTGCAGGGTGCAGGCGGGGCCCCCCTGATGTGGGTGCTGTGGCCACCTTGAGCTCTCCGAGCAGCACAGCGCCCAGCTTTGGGTGCTGCCCCAGGAAGGCGTGCAGGCTCAGCCCCTCCGATGGGCAGCCGTCCCTGTGGCTCCACGGCTGTCCCAGCAGCCGGGATGTGAGGGCACCTGCAGGGACAGAGAAGGCAGTGTCAGGTCCCATCCAACCCTGACAATCCCCTGCACTTCACCCCACACAGGCTCCGAACCCTGGGGGCTGTGGGATCTCTCAGTACTCACTGAAGAGCTGGATGGCCGCGTTCCTCATGGCCCAGCAGGGCGAGCCCAGGCCCCGCAGTGCCAGGGCCATCATGGGTGTGGCGTGGCACAGCACTGCTCCACCCAGCCCTGCCCCACGGACCAGCGTCTGCAGCACGTGGAGGGCACACACCTGGGGAGAGCACACGGGGCTCAGTGGCACCATGTCACAAGGGGGCTCATGCTACCATGTCAGGGGAAGGGGGTGGGAAAAGACAGGGGAGCCAAAAGGCCATCAGCTCCCAGCCTGCCAGGCTGGACAGCGCGACCAGAACTGTGGGTTTTTGCTCACTCAGAGTTCTCATGGTCTCACACTGGGTACCTGGCAGAGCTCAGGGGACCCAGCACAGATCACCGTGTCCCCAAAGGGGCTCCAGCAGCCAGGAGCACCACACTGACCTGCGGGAGGTCGAGGGTCTGGTCCCAGTCCTGTGGCAGTGCCGTGGCAGCCAAGGTCAGCAGTGTCTGGATGCAGCGGGTCAGGAGCGGCCGTGCCAGCGCCGGGGCCTCCCCGCTGACGATGCAGAGGAAGAGCATGGGGAAGCCAGCAGCACGGCGCGTGATCGAGCTGCTCCGGGGCCCACTCAGTGCTTCCAAGCCCTGACAGAGAAACAAAATCCACCTGAGATGTGGCTGGAAACCTGTCACCTGGAACCTGCAGCTGCCCTGCCAGGAGGGCACCAGCTTGCACCAGCATCTCAGCTGCCAGGAGGGTGCTTGGCCAAGGGAGTGCAGAAATGCCTCTGGAGCTCCCTGGGGCACACGGGAAACAAGAGGCACAGTGAGTACTGTACCTGCTCCAGCACAGCCCGTGGGATGGCCTGCAGCTCCGGATCCGGGTGGTTCAGCAGCGCAGCACAGAACTTGGTGAAGCCCATGCTGCAGCCCTCCACTGCTCCCTGGGGCAGAGCAGTGTCAGGACGAGCACCC